CATGCCACTTACATTCCACGGAGAGATGCTGGATGTTGTGGAGCGTCTACATATCCTGGAAGTTGTATTGGTTCTGATTGTAGTGTGACGAATGAGGTCAATGCACGAATCTGCAAGACCCGGGTCGTGTTTGCTAATTTGAGACATCTGTGGTGTCAGAGTGGTGTATCCTTGAATCTCCTGGGACATGTGTATGAAGCTACAGTGCGGGCTGTTTTGTTGTGTGGCTGGGAGACTTGGCCTGTTCGAGCAGTGTAACTGAGACGTCTTCAGGTGTTCGGCAATCGTTGTCTCAGAATCATAGCTCGCGTGGGTTGGTGTCGGCGTATCCGTAACGAGGCAGTTAGAAAGTGAATGTTAGAAAGTTAGAAAGTGAACTTCCATTGAGTAATATGTCCAGCCAGCAGAATCAACGGTACCCAAACGTTTCGTACTATCCTTCGTTCCCTTCTGTCTTGCCAAATTCTTCTCACCTTTAGGCTTCCGCTATTCCAAATTAGACACGGAAAACAGCAGTCTTCTCGGTGGGTGGTAACTCGACATGCATAGTATATGGCCCAGCCACTTTAGTATGCAGTGCTCGGCGCATTGCTTGAATGAACTACCGTGTGCTTCACCAAAGCCCCTCATTGCGAATTCCCTGATTCCCGTCATAGATCTGAGACGTCGGTGGTCAAGACCCCGAAGATTTATCGTGTTCTCCACAACCGTACAACCATACAGCCTATCCTCCCGGTTTGGCTAGACCTGAGACGTCGTCAAGACCCCGAAGATTTATCGTGTTCTCCACAACCGTACAACCATACAGCCTATCCTCCCGGTTTGGCTAGACCGAAAATTGCACGTGTTACCCGACATCTTCGGTGTAAGGTCATGTGTATGGTATTCGGTTTAGATTCATCTATTGCTAGATGTAGGGAAGTCCAGCTTATCAAAGCAAATATTGAAAGGACTACCTTGGTCCACCTGGTCAGTTTTGTTCGATCGATCCCATGTTACGTAACCTGGTTACCTCTGTGGCTCATTCCGCCTCAGCTTAGTGTAGTCACACAATGCGTGTCTTTCAGTCCAACTCCGGAGAAGATTGTTCTGGCGCACTGATCGGAGAGACCCATGTGATGCCACAGCAGAGCGGATAGCAGCTTCAAATGATCTCAACGACTCGGAAGAATCTGAATGGCAAATAAAACTCGATGTTTTATTCATGGATGAACAACCGTTTGCAGCGGCCTACTCGTGATACTAATGGAAGCAGCCACATTCTACGTAATTCGAATTCCAATGACCATTGTTCTCTCGGGGCCGATTTCGCTAAAAGAAAATGGCCAAAAGGTCTGTGACTGGTAACTGCTGTTTCTTTCGGGTAGAGACACACCACACCCTGACAGACATCGTCCAGTTATGAACCCAGTGATGGTCTCATATCAATGATTGCACCTTCACTACGTGGCTCAAACAAGCCACTGCCTGCAAGAGAATCGAAGCTGTTCAACGTCAGCGAACTGGTTAAACTGTCGCCTCCAGCTTGTAACCGTGGGCGTGACTACACAAGTTGGAACCAACTTGCTTTTAGTGTAAAATTTGTGGCTGAAACTTTGGACCGAACTGACGAAAAGATGAATGGAAATGTCCTGTGTTAGCTGGACTGGTTGGGTAGCTGATGATAGTGGTGGTACTCACCGGCACTTTGTGGACAGTCAGGCCTCTTTAAGCGAACTTGGAATCAGTCTGCCCATTGGACGCTAATACAACGCTCATACCGAGGACATTGTGTCTCTACCATCTTCACGGTAATGTGAGTATCTTGGTCTGGTAGGACTGCACATACCCGTCGCCAATTTGTCTTTTTTCTGTGTTGTATCGTGCATCGCCTTCCTCACCCTTTCTTCACAGCGGCTATCCCTTCAGACCGTATGGAAAGCGTGGTTGAATTGTCAAATTTGCGCAAGAAGTTAATTCTCAGCCCAACACTGGCGACGGCGCAATTTCTAGAACGACGACGCTATCCCTACTTCTTTCGGACAATACCAGCGATGACTCAAGCCAAGTGAGTCTGTGTAGTTGTCATCTTGTTAGGGTGGGAATGATAGTCCTTTTATTCGGGAAAGGATGATCATTGTACGCGAGATAGCTATACGATCACTCGGTTTTTACGATAACTCAGTCGATTTGATACGGTTTTCAATGCGGTCAAAATACCCAGGTCAGGAAACAGCCCAACGAATATCTGTGTCACTTGATTCATCAACATTCTCCTCCTCAATGTAACTCAAGCGTTTCGGCAATCATTGTTGAATCATAGTTGTAATACTACTACTAATAATGATTGCTCAGGTGTAGCACCCATTCACTGCATGGCTGCCATATCACCCGAATGAAGCACGAAGAGTGAGAAATTGCCCCCAAACCTAGACAGCAGGAGTCGAGATGCAGAGGTTGGGTTCGAACTTCGGATCTTCCAGTCAGTATGCTCGCACCCTTGAGCTGTGTCGGGGTCAACTCGTTAAATCCGCGAACTCATGTACCTATTCCCTGTTGACCTTGCAACATCCACCATCCCCTATCCGAAATTGCTCTGCTTGTGTGTGTGTGTGTGTGCATATCTATTTTCCATGCCTTTCCGCTCAAGTAGCAGTTCCCCGAGGATTGTCTTCTCCAAGTATACAGCTCGTTGTTAGTGCATTACCGCCGAAAGTAGACGTCAACGAATTGCTCAAATTTATGGTTCTGGAGAACATGGACTTTGAATTGTAGAAAGGCGTCAGCGCTTGTCAGAATACGAGTCCATTGACGGGGCAAGTTGTGGTGAGCTAGATCATTCCGCGGGAGTAGAAGGTGAAGAGTATCCTTTTTTAGAAATGGAAGTACCCAGTTTCATTTTGGGAAAATCGGTAGGACAAAGCATCAACGAATTTTCCTTCATATTAGCCTGTTTTACCTCGGTTGTAGGGAAAGTACAGCTCGAGACGTGTGTCCCTAACAGGTAGAGCGCGCGACGGCTTGGCTGGTTCCGAGGATACGTGTTCATCAGAGGAGGTGAGCGCAGTAATCACCCTATTCAGTATGCTATAGATACGACACTGGCCGGTTCTACCAAAGTTTGCCTTCCGTTCTGAGCAACCGATTCCGTTAGACCACAACACTAAGACAGTTGCAACAGAAAACAAGTTGCCTAACTATTTTTGTGGTGGACCTTCAATCCACATCAGTGGAAACTTCGAATGGAATCATTTCTCACTTCTGAGGTTCCCGACAAGGAAATTACGCGTTGGTTTCACGATCCCGAATATCAAAGAAATAATCAGGTACTATTTACGCGGAGGTGAGTAGATTTACACAACACGTCCTTGCGAAAGTCTGACCCGCACGGCGCAGTGTCAAAGTGTCAAAGAGTGAAATGTTAGCACGTCAGTGTGAACCTCCCTTCTAAGGCCAATCTCGTGATTCTAGTTGGCGCTGCGATCACACCGACATCGCGACAGAACAAGTCAGAGTAGGTCCGGCAGTTGGGACACGAACACTCACGGTTAAGTAGGCCAATGTCACACACCAGTAAGCCGAACTGCCGGACTGGGCGGCATGGTTAATGGCGGCGGGTACCGACAAGAGACCAACAGCGCACAGGCGGCGTAAGCAAATAAATGGGAGAATTATAGTGATGGCAGGTTGGATTCCCTATTCACTTTCTCTAGAACGGTTTCAGGCAACACGGTCTTTCAGCTACATGACTGAGTCCCGAGTGTGAGGTGGTCTCAGCTTGTGGAAGGCGGGTATGGAAATTATTCCACTATTTATTTCCCTTTGATTTCTAATCAGAAACCTGGATTCTTGTCATTCTTTTCGATTGAGTAGCTTCGGGAATCCATTGGTAACCAGTTGCGTCAGATTTGCTCTGTCGAGTTCCGAGAAGTTTCGGCTCCCCCCATCCAATGAGATGTAACCCACCGGATTAATCTGATGGAGACAAAGAAAGATTACTACAACCGTATTTATAGGGTCATCACAGAATGTTCCAGAAGGTCGTGCAAGAATCTCCGCGAGGGGGCGAGAAGCGTCGAGCCAAAGATGCTCGATCCAGATTGGCTGGCATTCTGGCCAATCAGAACATGGCTTCGCTTGGTCCGTAGCCCGCACGCGGCACATCCGTTCAATTGGCGTGATGTTCAGTTATTTGGGGCGGCTGGCCTCAGGACAGCCCTTGAGAAACATCACCGCACAGCGCTCGAGAATGGGTGAACAAAAAGCGATCTGGTTCCCTTTGTTCTATTCCATCTGTTATTCCTTCGGATATCCAGACTCATTGGTCAGGATTGAAGTAGTCAACTACATTTATACACGGAATGTGGCAAAATATCCTTTGTATTGGCGTGACAAACACGATATGTTGAATCACCTATTCTTAACGAGACGGTGGTTGTTTTTCTGGCAAGAAAGATTCCTACGTTGAATGTGATACGACTCTCCAAGATTCTTGCAGAGAGTAAAAATAGTCATTCAGCTGTAAAATTCAGTGTTCAGATACTCTGCTCCCGAAGGAACCACGAGGGTTCAGATACTGCCAGTCGAGATGTCAGGGTTGGATTCGCAAACACGGATCTTCCGGTTAGTAAGTTTGCGCCCTAACCACCGAGCCACCTCGAGTTTCAAACATTTGACAAGCGAGACACGTGTGTTGCGTCTACCCCACTAAGGCGCTCCAGATGCATTCGAGTTATTATACCTGGACAGACGAACGTGAAGTAGGTTTCCCCACAAAGGACGACCCAGTAACTGTCCTGGTTGTGTCAATCAATCGATTCCTTTGTCAGGACTTCTCGGTCAGGTAGCTTCATCGGTTCTTGCAAACTGCTGAACAGCTTTTGTTGTTTGGTTCCAGCTGGTCGAGGTCACCCAGAATAATTATGCAAGGACCGTTCAAACAAGACCCAGTGCAAAATGTTCACTATTGGTCCCAGTTCACGGTAGGTAGCGCCACAGGCTGTTTGTGCTAAGCCGCACGTGCACTCATCTGAACCCGGTGTAAATCCGAGGGAATAAAAACCAAGGGTTGGCAGGCGAAGGCAATGGGTAATTCAAGTGTGGACAGCTAAAAATTCGAGACACAAAACGGTTGCGAAAGGTGGTATGATGGTTCGCACAACGCTTGAGACGCTCGTGATAGCCATTAGAGTATGGTTCTTCAGAGAAAATAACCTCTAGCTTGTACGCGCCCACAACCAATACACCTTCACCATTGGATTCAAAACTGCAACATGTGACCAACTTCCTCAGTATCTTGCCTTTTATTCGTAAAACCAAATCCTGTCTGCCGGAGCCTCCACGAATTGTCCACAGTTGATGGCTGCTGACCAGCAAGTTTCCGTTCACACTTGTGACCCAAGAATACCGAAATTTAGATCGCGCGGTAATGATCGTCACTGATGATTCTTACATGGAGCATATTTTTCTTCAAAGACTGCCATTTAGTAGCTACGTAGTGTGCCCACCCTATGGTGGGCTGTGACGATTATCGTTTCCCAGTAAACTGTGGTTGTTTTTATGACCTAACGATTTCCACGACCCCACTATCTGTGAAGAGGTTGATCAGTCATAACACAGAAGATGACCGATAAGATGGCACAACTTCGAAAGAAGCCCTAAAGTTTCGAGCGCGATTGAGGATCCGACTGGACACCTTTGTCACTCTGTTAAGTGCGTGCGAAAATGGCCAGCCTGAGTGAGTGAGTTCTTGTGTGGGACCTTTGTCAAATTCAGTGTAGACTCATATTAAGATACCATACTTTATTAGCAAGTTGACTTCCCATCATCCCATCCACGTGGTCCAGAAAAAGTTTTCCTTCCCCTCCTATTCAGTCTGCTGCGAATGTACTGAATTTGGCCAGTGACATAACCACATCACGAGAAGAGGTTCAAATCAAACGAACTTCCACAATCGCACCCTGTTGCCATAACGAGTATCTGAATCAGGTGACGATTGATTCTGACCTTGTGGGTGTTGATCATGCGTAGGTGAGGTGGTGGATCGAAAACAACGTTGATTTCTCTACTCCTGATCTATTTTTAACTCAAAAGATGAAATGATCAAACAACAAATAGTTGTTTTCAGTTAATCCACAGACAATCCGTGGACGGGAACGCAAGTGTTAGTCGTGGTTATCCTCCACCTTTATGTTCGATTGTATGCCTCTTGAAAAACTACAACAGTTGGCTAACGTTCGAGCCTTCACGGACTCAAGATTGCTCAGTGGTTAAGGTGCGAAACCGCTGACCAGAAGGACCGTGGTTCGAACCCGATATCTGCATCTCCACGGCTCCTGTCTAGGCAACCTGGCAGTACTTCAGCCCCCATGTTTTCTCCGGGTGGCGTGGTAGCTATGCACCGAAAGTGTGTTACATCTAAACACTTTATATTTGTTTGTTCCTATTACAACTTTCGCGTGGCGTACGAAACCGCTACCAGAAGGACCGTGGTTCGAACCCGATATCTGCATCTCCACGGCTCCTGTCTAGGCAACCTGGCAGTACTTCAGCCCCCATGTTTTCTCCGGGTGGCGTGGTAGCTATGCACCGAAAGTGTGTTACATCTAAACACTTTATATTTGTTTGTTCCTATTACAACTTTCGCGTGGCGTACGATCAGTGAAGATTGATGTGAGCGTCGCGCAGGACGCCACGAATCGGACCAAACAACGAGTACCTTCATTAGAAATTGAATAGCTTTGGTGATATTGGTTGCAACAGTATGTAGTACCTGTCAGCCCAGTCAAAGACAAGAGCACCGCACGCGACCGTGCCTAATTTCTGTCTTCTTCAACTTCACTAACGACCTTGTTTCTCGTCCTTTCTCGTTACCGTCCACCCTCTCCCGCCGCTATTTCCAATCTAGCTATATTCTCCTTCGTCTATTTCTCAAATGGAACTGGCGTCGCTTGGTCATCCTACGCAAACGGGATCACTTCTTCAACGCGCGTCTTTTCCAGGCCAAGAATATCGAAATAATCGATATGCAGTTGGAAGAGCAGCAACTGACCTATAAGAAGGCTCGACATGTATGTTTGCTCCCCCTTGCGTTTGTTATTTGATCGTTTGTGTCCAAGAAATTCCAATTCTGGCCGATCAATCTGTAGGCGTTGCCACTACCAACGTAAATGGGACACCTAAGAACCTTGTGTGGCTCACTACCTCGATAGTTCGTTTTGTGCTCTGCAGTTCGCAACATATCCACACTCGCTCTTTTCCATAAAACCACATCATTCCCTTTATAAAAACCCGCATAAGAAGATCACCATCCGTCCAACTCCTACTGTCTCCAGACGGTCCCCCACTACTCACAAAATGCCAGTAGTTTCTCATGAAACCGGTCGCAGTCATTCAGCTCATGGCTTTAGGATGCGTGCTCCACATCGTTGCCACATTCTGTGATTGCATGTGTATGTATGACTCATTAGGTGTTCACACTCATTGGTTGTCAAAGTTGCCCTAATTTGCTGAAGCTAAACATCATGTTATGTCATACAGAGGCGTGGATTTCCAGGATATTTTGGTTTAGACTGGTGTCGTTTCTTTGGCTTACTGTCGTTCAAATTTCTACCCACCATTTCTTCTCGCTAAATTACCTAGTAAGGCCGCCGTTGATTTTTCTCCATGTATTCTGTTTCAGTCTTTGGAGAATTTAAAGAAGTTGAATAGTCGCATCTTCGTCGTGGAATACGAGGCCGTCGGAACCTACCGCGTTCTGTGTGCCGCCTACCACCTAGGCATGCATTTCGATGCCGGATACGTTTGGTTCCTGAACCCCTGGCTTAGTGATGGCTGGTGGCAACATGAGAGCCTCTCCGGAATAAAAGAATGCACTCATCAGCAAATAGCCAATATCAGCTCATTCACCTTCTCCGTCGGACATCAGTGGATGATTCCTGACCTGTATTTCTCCGAAGATGAGTTAATTGTCTCGCCGCCATCTTCGTCCTCATCTACCAATCACTCTGCTGACCGTAGTGACCTCGTGTTTCACAACAAAACCTCGTCTCTACTTAACGTTGGAAACACAAAACGGCAACATCCCGGGGCTACAAAACAACGCCCGAAGCGCCAGGCTGTAGGGGATCGGAGTCGCATTTCTGCTGCTTTGAGGAACTCTTCGCATAGCTACAATCTCTTCGACGACAGCAACCAATCTAAATGGTACCAGGCCTATACGACCGATGCGGTGATTGCGCTCGGCGTGGCAGTGGTAAATCTCTTAAAGAGTAACCCATGGGCGCTGTTCGAATTAGATAGGCCTCAGATTGCAGAGACCTTGCGTGACTTGGTGTCACAGACAAACTCTGCTCCGTTCGGTCTGTTCAAAACGTACTTCATCTCCTCACTCTTCCGCAGTCCACTCGGACTGCACTTCAACTCTTTAAATGAGCGTGTGGCTAGCCACTGGGTGGTAAAACAAACACGGGGCAACACAACTGTGCCCGTGTTTTGGTGGAGCGTCATCCAGAAGCAATCACAACAACCACTGGTGAGCGCAGCTCATCATAATCAGTCGACAAGCCAGACTACTGATTCGAAGGCGAACAGTACAGTTGATGGAGAGGTGAGTGACCAAAACAAGACGAATGTTGAGATTCAAGATCTGCTCGACGCGTTCGCCTCATTCGAACGCCATACTTCGATGAATATTGCCGACAAGGTTGACTGGAGTCGAAACGGAGGACCTCCACCTGATGGGTCTCAGGTCGCAGATACCTGTGCTTTCCCATTTCTAAGCAACACACTGAGGATGGGATGTACCGGGGCAACGGTGTTCGTCGCTGTATCTATCACCCTGGTTTGCCTGATCCCCGTTATTCTGGCCAGCTTACATTATCGAAGAAAGTTACGCGAGGCAGAGCGGCTAACAAGAAAGCCGTTCGAGGAATTGTGTGAAGAGTTGGCCGATCTTAATGTAAGTGGTTGTAGAGATTCCTGGTTGAGTTTCCGTTTGTTTTTACCCCATATTTGATTACTTTTCATTTGGAGAGGCAGTCACTTCCGCCGTAGAATCCGGAAACACAGGAATACTCCTTTTTTTCGTTGAAAAGGCTACCATTTTGGTGGTAGTCTCCCGAATCGAAATGGAGACACTTTCTAGTTTTCCAAGCAGCCGCTTCACTCTCACAGAAGAACTAGACCTCTAACATCAGACTGAACCGTTCAGTCGCATCAAATGGTGGATATCACCACTGCCGACTCTCCTGACTTGGCTTGGCCGCGAGTTCGACCTGGCTTACGCGAATAGCGTCATTCACATTTGTTGCAGTTCTTGGTGAAGCAATGATATTTTAGACTTCCAAACAGTTTTTCGTCGTTATACCGACTGCAATTTTCGTGTCCTCTGGTGGTGCTTCTCTCACTGGGGCTAGGTGGTACAATGAAAGCTCACGATTACGTCCACGCATGTGTGTTAATTACCGAAAGAATTCATTCTGTGTAAACCAATTACACACGAACAAATGTTGTCTAAGACACCCGATTTACCTTTCAGAAATCCCCTCTTCGAAGGGGTATTTTAGTACCCTTTAGAGATGTTCTCCCGATAGCAAAAAATCATACTCATATTAGCCCACTCTGTATTCATCTTGTTGTTCCAGATTCCAATGGAGGCAGTCGTGCTCAACCGCCATATTGGCCAGGGTGCGTTCGGTTTGGTTTTTGGCGGTGAGGTCAAAACGAACGGGACCTGGGAGGCTGTCGCGGTCAAAGTACTCAACGAGAAGGCGACCTACGAGGGGAAAATCGACTTTCTGTCCGAGGCCAAACTGATGCGTTCTTTGGAACACCGCAACGTCGTGCGGCTCATCGGGATCTCATTGAATTTGAAAAACACTATTTATTTGATCATGGAGCTGATGTTGCTGGGTGACTTGAAGACATATCTGCTGTCTCGACGTATCCTAGCTCAACGGTAGGGTTCTTTTTGCGAAATTTCGTGGTTGGCTTGGGCATTTCACTGTTGTATTCAGTGCAAGAGTAACCAACGCATTTATCTTATGCTGATTTCTTATTCGATTCGATTTCTGAATCAATGAGGCGGTACTGTGAGGAGTTACTGGGTTTGTGCGCCCCGCCTTTTGGTTGGCTAGAGATCCCATCGAAAGTGGCCTCCATTCATTACGTTCAGATCACGGTATTCCCTTCGTTTTGAGGCTTAACTCGAGATACATTTTACGATCTCCTTTTTAGTGATAGTATTGAGTAAAGTACCCGCAGCGAGAATACAATGAGCAATATTCCTTCTAGATTACCTAGGAGTTGAGTTACCTACTCTTGAGAAACCTATGAACGACTTTATGCATCGAACGATTTGGTGCAGTCTGCTGGTTTCTACTAGATGCCAGTCACCATCTGTTTGGTTCTCATTTCATTCTTCAGGTCCCCCGACCACGAAGATATTCGTCCCAGCACGCTGACAAACATGAGCATCGACATCGCGCAAGGAGTTCAGTATTTGCATAGCAAGAACCTAATTCACCGGGATATCGCCTGTCGTAATTGCCTGGTCGCATCGGATCACGTTGTCAAGATTGGCGATTTTGGGCTTACACGTGAGAGGACCACAAACCGACCCGATGGGTATTATCGTTTCACCAGAAATTGTAAGTTGCTTGTCGGTTGGAAATTCTGATAACGACTGTTCGCATAGCCCAATGATTTCGCTCGGTCTATGGATCTCGAGATAGTTCAGTGGCAGGCGGGGCTAATGACCAGATGGCCCGTGGTTTGAACTCAACTCTGGCTCTCGTTGCCACTGTCTGGGTTTATGCTCTATCTCAACCCTCGTCTTCTCCCTCGAGTTGCATTGAAGTGGTGCCGTAGCTGGATGATTCGCTGTCAATTCACCACTCTTTCATCACACTTGACAATGAGGAATTCTGAATAACAGGGCCGAATAAGACAAACTGTTGCTTTGTCCAACTCGTTTTGCTTGACTATCCACCGGTGATTATAGCCTACGATGTTCAAGATAGTTCAGTAGTTGAGTTGGGAAATTACTGACCGGAAGGACTGCGGTTCAAACCCAACCTCTGCTTTTTGACTGCTACAAACAAATTCACAGTATCTCAGCCCTAGTGTTTCCTTCGGGTGACATGGAAGCTATGTATGCACCGACATACAAATTACAGTATCTCAGCCCTCGTGTTTCCTTCGGGGGAAATGGAAGCTATGTATGCACCGAAGGGCTGTTACAGCTGAACAATTTGATGTCGTTCCAAGCATTTTGCGAGCTTCGGCTAAATCATGTACTGCACCTGTTGCCATTCTGACTATGCGTTTCACTAGGCATCTTTAACCGTTGTTCGACGTTATTACGAACCTGATCAGTGTGAACGGTTCCTCCCTCTCCTACCAATACATTTGTATAGTCTTCTATTATGGTACTACATATAAAGTTTGCGAAGATTCCTGATCGGTCCACTACCCATTTCGCTCTTCTTGAGTTTCTTCAGGTAGGCCTGGTTTCCAAACCTTCGTTAACTCATGTGGATGATGTCAACGAGAAACCCAAATGATTTTTGACCGATTCTGTGGTTTGTAGTTAATTTTGGTTCGGTTAAGTCTCCCTATGATTATTTCTGCACAGTTATACGGTTCTCTGCAATTGGTTGGTGCAGTCCAACTCTCTCAAGACACTTCCCGTTCACATCACTCTCGTTTGAACATTAATCCTGTCCTAGAACAATTATTCTGGTGAATCCATTCTAAAGAGTAGGTTTGGCCCTCGTTAAAGCTCGTCAGCAGCCCTTGGTCGTGTTCTGGATTGAACTCCGGACATTTGACATGTGATGCGAGCTCACGCTGGACACGTCTGAACTGGTGAACGTGTTCACGATTGTGTTATCAAGAGACTCCTTCTTCCTAATGAGACATTACTTCCTTACGTTGCCCTCGGTGCAATCATTCTAGCGAATATTATCGCTAACGCCAAATCATGGCTCATTTTCCTCTTCTCAGTTTAGGCTCCCGGAATAAATAGCTATCGCGTCCATTGAACAGCTGCTTGGCGAACTATCTACGTTGCTTACTTGGCCGTAATATCGAGCACTCAGTGTGGGATGTTTTAACCCATTACAAAGACTGTAAAATGACCACCCTGTAGAGAGTTTGACCACTTAGATTCCGGCTACAGTAGCGGCATAAACACTAGGATCAAGTACACATTCCCCAAAGATTCTTTGCATTTCAGTACACTCGAGTGAGTGACACGACAAACCCACGACCGGTATAGAAGTCGCGGGTTCTTTACTGAGTGGACCGTGTTTGGGGGGGGGCGTTTCTGACATCTTAGTTGCCCGTGCGTAGTCTTAGATGATGTTGAAGCCCCTCCGTTTTCGTGAATACTGCCGGTTCTGACACAGCTCTATGAAGAGAATTCACTCAACGAATGAGGCTGGCATTTTGTATGTTGCTCTGAATGAGGCTTTCTTTGCTTTGCTTTTCTATTTCTGAAATCTATCCTTTCAGGTGAACTGCCTATACGGTGGATGTCTCCAGAAGCTGTGCAATACGGCATGTTTAGCGTGCAGTCCGACATTTGGTCGTATGGGGTGCGTAGTCTTAGATGATGTTGAAGCCCCTCCGTTTTCGTGAATACTGCCGGTTCTGACACAGCTCTATGAAGAGAATTCACTCAACGAATGAGGCTGGCATTTTGTATGTTGCTCTGAATGAGGCTTTCTTTGCTTTGCTTTTCTATTTCTGAAATCTATCCTTTCAGGTGAACTGCCTATACGGTGGATGTCTCCAGAAGCTGTGCAATACGGCATGTTTAGCGTGCAGTCCGACATTTGGTCGTATGGGATAACACTGTACGAGATTGTCACTTTTGGGGTCTTCCCCTACAGTGACATGTGTGATGTCGAGGTGGTAGAGCGGATCAAACGAATGGAATTCAGCATTTCGGATTTCTTGCCAGCAAGTGCCAGAAACACCGTTGTGTAAGTTTCGCCTGCGCTGGTGACTTTCCGACAGACTGCCTTGTCTTTAGGTAGGGATGAGGCTTTGCACCCAGATTTTTCCTGAATATGAAGCTACTGTGCACTCATCAGCTGATTACGGTTTCATTCTAGTCGACAGTTCTCAGTAGTGTTCATCGGCCTGAGCAGATTCCAGCTTGAAACCTTGTGGCGAGAACTTTGAACGTCGCATAATTCAGCCACGGTGATTGGTCTGCAGTGCGATTGGCTTGCATCTAGTCATGATGTAAAGTTGATCGGTGTTTCCTAAGAGCAATGACCCAATCAGATAGAAGATTAAACGGGACACTCGTCTGCATGCATTCTGGATGTTAGACCCGAATGGTTCTCTCCTTTCGGATTGTAGTCACTGCAGTGCACGGCGCAAACACGCCTCAGTCTTCAATTTTTTAACATATCATAGTTTTAACCTTTCTATAGATCCTTTCTATGTCCCAAGAATGACCGCGAAGGTTAGACTGACGGGGACTTTTACTCCTGTCGGTTTCACATTTTCGAGTGAGTGATCAACCATAAAACAATCCGTTTCGGTTCTGGTAGAAACCAGAATTACGCTTTTCTGTGCCTCAGAAGCGTGGAGATATGGAAGCCCCGTCAACGGTGATGGTGCCGATTACTAGTGAGCATCATTCGCCTTCATATGGAAACGGTGAATCTACAGCCTTCAAGGCACAAAGCCAATCTTCGCAATACCCCGTTACAGATCCCCCGTAGTTTTAATGATTCCCATGCAAGATACAACGTCCTTGTGGCGCATCAGTTGTATGGTCTATAATACCGACAAAAAATGTTAATAATCGATCTCGGTTGTCTCCCTTATCCATGAATTGTAACTAACTCACTAGTGTTTCTCTGTTTCGCCACACTAGTTGGAACCTCATACGACTCTGTTGTCAACATCAGTTTGGTGATCGACCTTCGTCGATGGACCAAGTACTACAGGTACTGTACGATTATCCGGAATGCGTTCGTCCGTTCCTCACAGATGAGCCACCCAAACCCACCCTCGTCACGGATCAAACGCCCCTGGTGAGTCCAAATATAACCTCCACCACTACGACCCGTTGAGAAAGAATTTGTTTGAGGGCATCACACCGGACTCTAAACAGCCAGAATGCTGATTCGTGGGACTTTTCCGGTGTGAATTCATGATTTCTTGTCGCGTTTTCATCTCCCAGGACTAACAGTAGATAGAATACTCGATAGGATTGACTAAAAATTGGAATTAAGACTAATCTAAGTAGCTCGTGACCAGCTGGAGTTTTCTCACCTATGGTTCTAACACTTAGTCTGCATGAACAAATTGAGTCCACCAACGAACTGAAATCTAGTTCACCCGGTACTACTCCCTTAGTTTGACTCAGAATGTAAATCATGTAGTTCGATTTGGTACACGAGTGACTTGTTTATCTATGGGAGATCACAATGTGAACCGAGGCCCGCATCTCAGGTAGCGTAGAGTTCATATACTTTGCTATAGTGATAACAGCAATACTCATTCAGCTGTAACACCCTTTCGGTGCCTAGCCGCCGTTATACCACCCGAAGGGAGCTCGAAGGCTGAGATGCTGGCGGATTTCCCAAGCCTATATAGTAGCGATCGAGATGCTGTGGCTGGGTTCGAACTCGTGGCCTACCTATCAGTAGGTTCGCGCCCTAACCACTAAGTTACCTGGAGTCCATCTTGCTACTAAAAGGAGCGATTCGAAAGTAACGGACTTCCGGGAAATCTCTTTTGTAATTTCAGTTATGCAGTGCACGCGCGACGTTTGCCCTCGAAAGCGGTGCTTGCGTATGTTTGAATTCCACCAAAATATTAGTCAGCTTTGGCGATCCGTGTTGCCTTCCTTCAGTTGGCGGGGATGACAGTTTTTTGTTAGACGGAATATACTCGTGGAACTCATGAGAACAACGAAGGTAGCCTTCTTGGCTAATACATCGCAAGTTGATGGAGTACCAGAAATCACGTGAAACAAGGGTTAACATCAAGGGGTTAGACTGTTTCCTGGTCCCCGAGAATAAAGTACTGCATTAAAATTAGTCTTGTTGAGTCCGTTCTTCTGGCATAAACAGTTCGGTTTTAACGTAGGAAAAACTGTATTGATTTTCCGTTATTCAATCGCCTATAGTTGTGTAGAACATGAAGAGCATGTGCTTCGAGCCTTCTTGGAACTATAAGCTGGAGCCACCATGCCTGAATGGTTGAATGGTACTCCGAACAACTTTGGTGGCGAATAGACCTGTTGTTCCTTGACCAATGTGGTGGTTACCATGCCCTGTGAGAAATCACAAGTTAGTGGACCGGGTTGATGAGATCTTGGAATTCCAGATTGAAAGTTCATCTTTTGAGTGAGGCTGATCTGTGCTGAAAAGCCAAGGGTCACCGCCCATCTGATGAACTTTTATGATGTCTCAAACCGGTAACTCCCCGGTTAGTAGTTTGAATGCCTAACGAGCGGCGGTCAGCAGTGGAATTCACTCGCACTTAGACAGGGTATACCGCCCCTCTTCCTTCAATCCTGGTATCCACATCACTTGGTCACGCGTGTTGTTACTCCCCCTCTGAGCTATCCATAAACTGTTAGTAGTGTGGGGAATCCGAGAGTTTTCAGTGGGATTTTGTTCTGTAAGTTTCGTTAGATGCCCATTGTTGGTGGTTCCAATAGGGATGAAACAGCTGTACAGCGCTGCTCAGTTTTTCAACATAACGGCTTCGCTTACGGATTATATCTCCAATGAAAACTTCTGGTTGTTTTTTTGGGTTGTACAAACGTTCTCCAAGGAAGCTGTACACATCATCATCATCATCTGAGACAACAACATCAGTGTTGACACCGACGATTCACTGCCGACGGCCAAAAAGTTTATTTAGTGTGTGCTTGAATCCTCAAAATAAAAAAAACGAGAGGAGGGACCTGGTGCCCGCCAACCGAAGCATTTTGATATACCTACACTGCCAAGAGCTCAATGGGGAAACTGGCAATACAAGTGCCACTAACACCGGTTACCCGCCATTTCTTGCTATGTCTCCGACCAAACGCATGAGAGGGATCACAGCGACCCCGTCCAGGAGGGCGGACGACACCAACAACGCCGACGCCCTTCTGCCAAAACGTATACTGTTCACCTCACAGTTTTCAGCATTCTAAAGGAGTCAGCGTCTCAGTAGAGGATGTTTCGGCAAGTTTAACAGATTGTCGAGCCACCGAAATTGATGTATTGATCATGCGTTGCCTGATGGACACCACACCTGCAGAAAGCTTACGGTGGTCGGCCTTTGCGTACGCATGGTTTCGTTTGCTTAGTTTGCACAACCTACTCTGAACAGAATGTCGGAATTGATCCATTGCTTCTTCATGCATTCCACACCTTCAAAGTGTGTAGTTGTGCTCCTTTCCTGTTCTTTAGGGTTTCCTTTCTCCAGGTCGAGTAGTCGGCGCGCGCTTCAATTGTAATATTCCTTCCCAGCTGGCCTCCTTGCCTGTTGTCGCTGTGTAACGTATGCGTTATCTGATGAACTACAGAATAGGGATTCTCCCTTTTTGAATAGTACTGTACCTGTGCCCAATTCAGGGTGGCGCAAGCAGAGAGGTTGCCGATTTTTGACCTGGAAGAGGAGTATGAAAGAGAGTACGGAAAGTCCAGGTGCTGTCGGTGTAACTCGCCTTCCACGATGGGAACCGCCTGATCCTCAGTGCGCTTAGTTAGGGACTGTTCAATATATGGTTGCTAGTCGTTGTCAATAGGGTTCTTTTTGTCTAAATTGCTTGAATGAGCATGTGGAGGTGTAGGCATCTCGATATGATTGTGTTAAGCTAGCACTAAGTCCCTTCGCCGTCCAGTTTTATTCTCTTCTTCACAATAGGGTTTTCAAATAAATCATGGTTGTACGGCAGTGAAGCATCAGTCTTGAACCCTGACATCATACTGTTGATGTTGATGATGAGTACCGTACTCGTTCTGACCAAGCATCCTCTGGGCCCAGCTGTTTCCGGACTTTTCCTTTAGGATCGCTTCGTTAACGTGAATCACGGATCTTGTCCTGATTGGCCACTCAAGGTCATTGTGTGCTTTCTTATCCCTTGATCCTCTAGTGCCGGTACGATTCACAAATCCCCAGTGTCTACTAAAGTTTTTGGAAACTCTTCACTTGTAAACTGTGCCGGACTTTTCTTTAGGATCGTTTCGTTAACGTGAATCACGGATCTTGTCCTGATTGGTCATTGTGTGCTTTCTTATCCCTTGATCCTCTGGTGCTGGTACGATTCACAAATCCCCAGTGTCTACTAAAGTTTTTGGAAACTCTTCACTTGTAAACTGTGGCTACGTTTTCTGGGGGATACCATGCCTAGCAATCTGCGAGTGTATCCGCTTGACGGCGGTTCCAGTCCTTGTATTAATCTTCTACGATGATAATGCATTACTTCTTGATGTGTACAGACAGGTCTACTGCCCCGCTGGCGAGGGCCGAGCTGGCATCTCCCATAGAAGCATCTGCGCTGCCGGATCGTCTGCCCGATGTAATTCACACCGCACTATTCACTCTCATTTGACTTGTCATACCTAGTCACTTAATTAATTCCCGAGCGTTGTGGATGCCGCTGTTAACACCAGCTATCAACACCACCCTCGTTAGGTTTCACCTCAACTCGAATGAAAAGAATCTTGTCTACTAATTGCAACAGTCAATGTACCTCTAGTTACCCACTACCCCAGTTCTTAGATTCCCCAGCACCGCCGAATTTATGCCGTCGCAGCGCATCCCACCTTCAGAGCCTTCAATCAATTCGAACAGGTGAATTTCTTTTTCGTTCTGACGATGCGCTTCATATAGCAAAACAGCATAGTAACAAGACGGTGCAAAAGTTTAGGGAAGATTCATTTCTAAGGTAAGCACACCTCGTGAGTCTCCACACACGTCCGAATAAGCAGTACCTCACCGGATTCAATTGTACAACCTGTTATCGCTGGTGATAAACTACGGTTTTTCGGCTTTGCACTGATCCCATCGCGGTTAGAAGATTCCATAAAACATACTCACTCATTTCTTGAGGGAAACTGATCTGTTATGACAATGTATAAATCACCGACCGCTTGTGCAAGCGAACTGATAGTCTACATTGAAAATCAATCGAGTCCAAAATCCATCCTCATGAGACACAAACCGATTGTCGCCAAACTGAGGGAACTGTGACCTTTTATCGGCGATAACAGGTTGTGTGTGTATGACCCCGGTCAAGCGGCACGTGTCCATCAGCGCGGTGCGCTGTTTATTCCAGCTGTATGGCTTGTATGATCAGAAGGTTCTGAGTCGCAGCGTGTGTTCACCTCCTCTTCTAATCACCTTGTTACTATGCTGTTTCGATTTATACGGCGCGTCTTATACGTGGTGACTGACGAGAGCGACAGGAGTGCTAAGGATAATCGTGCCTCCCACTGCTGTCATCCAACTGTTCGATACAACAAAGTTGTCGCTCCATGTAATCAACATGAGGTTCGCAATGACAATACTAGTCTTTGGTTCGTCATCACGTTGTTGAGCCTCAGCAGCAAATATAATCTATTCATTCTATTTCTTTTTGTTCAGGTTCAACCCGTTCTTGACGGTACCACAGTCCGGGCTCCTCCGATCTCCGGCTACTCAGTGAATGACAGTTGTGTTAGTGATATGGGCCTGGGCGCTGGCTTTCGCAACCTTCGTTGTTCGTCTGCGACCGATTTTCATCCACTTCAGAGCAGCTTGTCACTACAATTCGGAGATCAGCTGGAAGAGAACGCTCAGCGTGTTGTTGATACCGGAGTGCGCTATTATTATCCTCGCAGAAACCGCCTAAGTCATTCGTCACTTCACAATCTGGGCGGTGGAGGAGCTGGGGACTGTCTCAAAGCGTGCTCGAACCACAGTGTTGTGGTATCTTCAGCTTGTATTGGTGAACACAATCATGCTAACTTGTCCGGTTCGGCGTCTTCTGAATCGTCCTCATCATCTCAGTGCCCTGGTTTCTTTCTCCCACCCTCTGTACCCCAATCTCCACAGCAAGAAGCCCACAAGCCGCTTCTTTTGACCAGCACTGTCAATAGCTTTCGTGAGAGGACTGATGCCAAGATGTACAGCAACAATCGGCGGCGTTCTCCATCTTTGAGCCAGTCACCGGCGCTAGAAGGTCGCGCTGAGTCGTTGAAGTAAGTTGCTACTTTTCATCCTTTCCTCTTTCGTAGGTGTTTTTCCACACTGATCGATTTCCGGCCTTCAAAGCACTCTTGCAGTGCTTCGATCCCATATTTTGATTTTCGGTATTTATTTACATGTTCGACTACTTTGGCAACTTTCAGTGTGTCGTGTCAACAAAATGCGTAGCTACGAGCACCTGATCTGCAGTATGGTTACCTCTGTGGTGTCAACCAAGAGTTTGTGATCTAACGGTTAGGTGCTCAAACTACTAACCCGGGTGTCGCGGGTTCGAGAATTCCCGGAGTTTGGTGAGGTGCGCACGGCTAATCAATCCCAACGAGGATACAACGGCTGTGCGGTGCTTCTCGGCTTTTCAGTATAGATTGGCTTCACGTACAGGACGGAATCGCCCATAGGGTATTTGACTATCCGTTTTCAAACTGCAGCTGTCACCCATGAATTCCCAACAAGTTGACCAAGTGGCGCCATCATCATCATCATCAGAGACAGCAGTATCAGTGTTCACACTGATGCTTCACCGCTGTACAACCACAAAGTTTCTCTAATTACATCTGAAGCCTTAGAATGAAAAAAGTGAAAAGAGTGGATGATGAAGGGGACCTGGTACTGACCTGTCGCAAGCATTCTGGCGCGCCTGCACCTCCAAACGCTGAATCAGACAACCTGGAAAGAAACTGACAACACGAACACAACTGATATCGATAAACAGCCATTTCTTCCAATGTCTTCAGCCAGGCACTCGGAGGATCCCATCCTGGAAGGCGTGCCGCATCAACAACTCCCAAACTCTTTGTGATCTCTTTCACACCCTTCTGCCAAATCATACGTTGTCCACCTCGCGGTTTCCACTAGTCTGAATGAGTCACACTCACTCATCTCGGTAGACTGTTTCGGCATGTGTAGCACATGGCTGGGCCACCGTGGTCGATGGTGCTAGATGTTTTTGGCGGTCGAAGTACCAAGACCATCTAGAGACATGTAGTCAGTGAGCCAGCGGCTCTTTCGCTTGTTGACTGAATCCAACACTACCAGTCCTGTGAATAGCAACGTATAAGTTGGCAGGATGGTGTAAGTGAGCCTATAAAACTTCCTGTTGTCACTGGTGCGGTCCGCCAACACCGCGGAGACGTCCGCTGCTTGTAGTTAGTTGGAAACGCCCCAAGATATGACCGCAATCCAAGTCATTTTTCGAGTATTTGGATAAATTTGTGATTTTTGTTCTTGAGAAAGCCCTTCGCCGCGGAGCCTGAGGAGGGTTTTCAGTGCCGCGAACTCACCCCGGTCGGTCTCCAGTCCTGCCGCCTCCGCAACATCCTCGAAATCTTCCGGGAATGTCCGCACACTAGTACAGTTCCTTCGGTTTACTGTACGGCGAATATGCACACTATGGTCTGTCTGTCCGGGGTGTTGTCCCCTCCGCAACGTCCTCGAAATCTTCCGGGAAGGTCCGCACACCAGTACAGTTCCTTCGGTTTACTGTACGACAAATGCACACTATGGTCTGTCTGTCCGGGGTGGAAAGCATGCAAGGGCGTTGTCACCAATAAATCTCCGAACAGCATCATCAACTGCTTCCTTCCCTCCGACCCAAAGTTGTGGTGGTGGTCGGGCTTCAGTACCCCAATGATCCCGTTAGCTATGTTGACTCTAACTCGGCTCCCAAAAGTTCAACGATGCCAGGCAAGCCAGTGGCAAGGAACCCAGCAAAGAACAGCGAGTCCTCGTACTGCGAGAAATCATATTACGAGGCGGTGTGAAGGTAAAGTCGTACTGTCCTCTGCGATAGGAATGTGAAGGCAGTAAGGCGTTTCCCTCAGGCAAACAGCCCGTGTCGCCAAGCCAGACTAAAACAATAACCGTAAAGTCGGGTGTTTTACCACGAAGGGATTTTTTTTAATTTCATGATAAAAACCATTGTAATTATTCGAAATTGGATAGGTATCGTGCGTTGCTTTTTTTTACCGAACTCCGTTCCTTCGAACCAGGCAGCAGCACAGCGGTTAAGGCACGAATTTAATCGCCGGTAGGTCCGTAGTTCGAATCCAATGCCGGCAATATTTCATCTCTCCTGCTTCGTGTGAATTGCATGGCAGGTGTGCACCGATATGGTGCCACGTTTGAACGACTATTCTCATCAGTTTTCATACCCTGGGCCAAACTGTCGACCGAGTCTAACAGGAAGGGCCCGCTGGGATGGGGAATAATGTACTACCACTGCTGACGTGGACCGTGTAACGTGACAGCCCATGACAAGTGGGATTTCACTCGTGTCATTTATGGAGCCAGAAAGTTTCCGTGCTCTTGGAGAGGCCCTTCCTTGGGGCCAAATTGCTGTCTAAATTCTTCACGGGCGTTTCTCCATGGAGAGAGCATTCCGCCGGAAGTCCAACCTGGAAGTTTCTTAATCTAATAATAATCAGGTAAACGCAGTTCCCGAGTTTCCGTCAACCTTATGTTCTATTTGAATCCAAATTTAACAAAATACACTAGAGATTTAGCCGGGTTCCAGATGAGTCTCCCGTCAGAACCGAACTGGTATGCAAATGAGTGTATTTCGCTAATTTCGTGGATTCTGGAGACTGTGCCTACTTGATAAGCCCAATGAAGAGCGAATCCGGTCGTGGGCTGTTGAAGAGTCTTCAGCAACCTAATGAGTAGTGTATTACGCCTCTACATGTATCGCGATATCTCGAATATCGTACCAACGGAAACAGGAGGTGGCCTAGCGCAGCACATTCAGTTGCTTAAAATCATCATAAACGAGAAATTCAGCAGGGTTTCAGGTGAGTCTCCCATCAGAACCATATCGGTATGCAAATGAGTGTATTTTGCTCATAATCATAGCAATGTGAAGAGTACTAATCACGGCCTCAATACCCTTTTGGTGCATAGCTTCTATGCCATCCGAAGGGAGCACGAGGGTGGAAATACTTCCATGTTGCCAAATCGTAGATAAGAACCATCGAGATGCTGGGGTTGGGTGCGAACCACGGACCTTCCAGCCAGTAAGTTTGCGCCCTAACCACCGAGCCCTCTGTTAAAGTGTCTTTTACTCGAGTTGTGGCTACTTTTTTTATTTGGACTTCTGTCATTCACCAGTAAAACTTCGCTTTCATGAAAAAATATACGATTGATCGAACACTTAGATAAGGATGTCCTGGAAAACGTGCTAGAAAATGTGGTTTTCGGCTCACCGGGTATCGCCAGAGGCTTCGTCTGAGGGAGTAACCAACGATTTTGGTAAAGATCAAATGAATTCAATGCACTTTGTAATAAATTCAGTCGTGGCCGGGGAACCGGCGAACTGGATATGTCTCCTCCTTAAGAGAACCTGGTTAGAGGAGAGCTCAGAAAGCTCCCTTGTCCATGATGACCGCTCTGCCGGCGGTCATCCTACCTTTAGTATGACTCTCGAGATGTAGAATCCAACCAAAAGACGCCTGTGATTGAACTTGGGGCGTCAGCCTTCCGCCAACCTTACTAAATGATCCATCCCAACAAATTAGACTCGGCTGATTGATTGTTTCACTTTCAATTTTCCGGTGCATTTCTGCTCTTTTCAGACTGCTGCCCCGCGATGGGACACCAAACGTTGCAAAGAGTACGGAACTGAATGTGTATCGACGTCTTTGTGGTGTCCCTCAGAGAAGCCTGTCTGTGACAAACGTTCACGAATTGGTGCGGTCGGAAGTACAGACTCCCGAGTTTACTACAGACGAGGATCTAACTTTCTATTCTGTTGGTACCTCAATTTTCAGCCCAGTTTCGCCCAATCTCATACGAGCCGATTGCTCCTGTCCGTTTCCCGCGAAACGTGCTTCCGGTGATACCCACGATTCCTGTGGCTTGGATCCGCTTTATTGTCACAGTTTTGAACACCCTCCATGATTTGTCTCTTCAATTTGATCTGTTCCACATGGCATTTTCATCCCACTTTTATCACGGTCCTGAACTTCTCTCTTTCATTTCGTTCTCATCAAACTCTGTCACTCACGGCGCCGATACCATATCATAGCATTTTGTTCCTTTTCCCGTCTGCATGTCTCATGCAGCGCTTCAACTTTTTGAAGGTATACTTACTGAATCGGGCATCATCACACACACAACTACTTGCGTTACTTGGAATGCTTCTGTCTCTGTGAAAACTACTTTTGTAGGTCTTTGTAGGTAGTAAGACCTTCGTCATACTCGATCACTATTTCCTAAATCACGATAGTTTTTGCCAACGCTTTTGTCGATCATTCAGTGTTTAATCATTGCAAACTTCATTTTGTCATCACCCCTTTGGTGTGCGACTTCTTTGTGGTCTGGATTCGTTTCCTCTCAGATGTCCACCTGGAGATAGCGAAACAACCATGGTTGAAAGGAACAGATCATCAGTACTGTGGGCCGAACAGTTTTTACGCATGTATGCAGGTTATTTGTTTTATGCAGGGAATAAAATTCTTTTCAACTGGAATCGCCTTCATGACCTTGAATGGTACGCTTGAGGAGTTTCAGCACTTGCTCAATAGCACGCATGTTTTGGGGGGATGTCCTGGCACTCTGCTTCCTCGTTTTCCACTTTTCCGGCCTCGGTAGCCATCTGTGTCCAGAAAAGTCACGCATGAATTGCTTCGGACAAAGCTGTTGAACTACACAACTGAATAATCTGTCAAAGCTAAAATCCACTGTTTCGTTCCGCAAATGAAGTTACTTCATACTGAAGTGCCAGGAGGCACGGCACAGATGCGTTTCGCTATTGGCAGTCACATCCCGAATAGAACTTCCGACGTTCCGGCTAGGGGTTGATTTGCTTTGCGCTTAACCTGCACGCTCGATCAGTATCTTCCAGTCATTTGGTTCACATCACAGAATACGTGTGATGACTTTTCACGTGAAAGCACCACGCGCGTGGTAGGGAACTTAGTCGAACGACTCTACAAACCCCGGGACGGTAGATAGCTGTGTACCTAATGATAAGAACCAACCGGGTTCGTCCTCTGCGGTTCCTCGTTCTAACCAGTACATGTGAACCTAGGCATGGATCATGGACGTGATTAACTTACGTCACGGGTACAATTGTAGAAGGGGAGGGCAAAGGGTAGACAGGTCAATAGGTCACAGACAGCAAAATTCCAGAGGTAACACAGTTCTTTTAAGTACAGAGATCTGGGGAGGGGGTTGTATAGCCGAATTCTGACGGCAGTCTGAATCGTACTATCCGTGACCGGTCCAGAGGTACGTGGGATAGGGAGGTATGTTTCTTGTCTGTGTGACGGTTAAATGTACCGCGATTGCACCGGCCACCTGGAGAAACTCGAGTACCTTGTCGCACGACCAACATGTGATGCTCCACACGAGCATGGAAAAGAGTATGCTGCTGTTTTGAGTGCTCAAAACAGCTCGTCGATGGGAGAATTTGCCCGGCCGTCAAGCCTCCACACGACAGTATGCTGCTGGTAGACTTTGGCAGTTTGTCTTTCAGTCAAACCTGATGATAGGGCTGGAACTGAGACTCAAGTGCAGGTTAGTGGCCATGTACGTCATGTCAACACAACCCCAAACGTTTTTGGTAGTTAAATCTTCAGGTGAATCGTCTCTGAATGAGGCACCAGTATTGACACACTTTGCTGACGACGTGCTATCGAACATGGTTTTGCAGAGTGAATCCTGTCTCAGTCAAGCATCTGATTAGATTCCGCTTGTGTTGTAGCCGTAAAAGTATCACAGTGAACACACACACACACCGTCCAAGTTTATTCCCTATATTGTCCCATCGACCTTCAGCATAGCAACGTCAAGAAGTAAACTTTATATTAGGGTGAACTGAGTTGAATTGGTTTAGGACTTCAGTCAGATTGCCAGCACACGTATAGCACTTATATATACCACTTACTTATACCACCGTAAGGGGTGAATTGCCTGATAAGCGTGTCGAGCTGTAGAACTCAAGGGATACCGCATTGCAGCTACTTCTGTTCGATGGTCGGTTTTAATATTGAAACTAAACCGAACGCTATGGGTACAAACTAGCGACAGTTCCCCCTAATCAGATGTGGGGATATCGTCCGTTCAACTGTACCAATCCACAAATATGTCCTACTGTCCCGGTGAGCGATATGTTGGTAGTGACACGGAGTCATGTGCTGTGCTTATCGATTTTTAGCTCCCTAAGCTTACCGACGAACTGAAATGTACCTCTGATGACTGGTTCTAGCAAGCCATTTGTCCAGGGGTGTTGGGTATGTCAAGAATATGCTCGCAGATTTATGTATTTTGAAAAGGCTTTCTTTCCATATATTGGTTTTTCTACGGACTGTACCTTCCCGCTTTCCATTTTCCTGAATTTTCACAAGTCAGACAATGTTCACCTTGTTAAAATGTATCCAGTTTTATCCATCAGGACGATTTCAACTTCCCTGTCTGGCTCACTCAGATGGTAGCACTCGATCAGGCTTCTGCGGACCTTTCAAAGCATTAAGGTGTTCCCTCTTCATCAACATTTGTTTGTACCTCAGTTGTTCTATGTTTCGTACTGGAACTGGCTCAGCCTTATTGATCAAACGGACTTTTAAAGTTGCAACTGAGTGACTACGAATACCTAGTTACAATGCCTCCTGACGTGTAGTATCTGTGGCGGTCAGTCACTGAATTACGCGTTACAAACATTCAGATCACGTAACAATTTCTGTGTCACTTGCAACCCTAGCCGACAACATGTACACTACAATTTCCCATCCGTTTTTTGTTTACGCCTGCGTCAGGCTTACAAACGTCAAGTTGGCCGCTCAGTATTCGCATAATGAAGATGATTTCTCGAAAGCTGACGACATTTTCAGGGTTGCCACTTCATAGTGCTGAACGTCTATGCAATATGTGCCACGATCCTGATGATTTTGCCTTGAATGATGGTGGAACGTTTGTAATCAGATTACCCAGCTCAGCGAAAAAAACCAACGACCATTTACGTTACATGAGCAACCAACATTCTCCACCACAGGACAATATTTTGTGGTGTGATTCCTCAAGTAATCGATCAAGGACGAATTTCACTCCAAGGAGTAACACTCAAGCATGAACAAACAGACAAACCTGTCATCTTATCCCATTCTACTCTGTAAGTAAGGCGAAACGGATGAGTTGTAATCATTCAAAACAAATCCGGACACAACAAGTTTGTGGCTGAGCAGACCAGTCTTTGTACGGTTTGTGAATTCTGTATTCACATCACTCATGCTTGAATAGCTGTCATGCTGTCCTGGTTTGGTTGTTCTGTTTTGAGCTAATCGATATTGCCATGCCAGGATTTGGGTCTCGCCTGTCTGACATAAGAGGTTTCCACTACCCGCTCAACACAGCAAAAAAATCGTCCAGCTGTGACACGCTTTCGGTGCCTAGTTGCTATGCTACCCGGAGGGAGCACGAGGGCTGAGATACTGCCAGGTTGCTCAAGCCTAGACAGGGGAAATCGAGAGGCAGAGGTAGGGTTCGAAACACGGACAAGCTCGGCGAACAGACCAACAACCAAACAGCGCACCCGAGCTACCTACATTCCACAACATTGCTAGAGTATTTTCCTCTAATGCTGATACTGTATCCGTGTAATGGTTTTGTTTGCTTGTAAACTCAGTGTACAACCTAATCATGGCTGGGAAAGTTCTCACATTCGTGTGGCTTTGTTTTCCACATAACCTCCAACTAGAAAATATCTCAAGCTTAGGAGACGTTTTTCGGTTCCCGAACGTTGTCCCTTCTGAGGAGGTAGTGCTGTGCTGCCAACACTCGTGTGTGTAAGTGAACCGAGGGCTAACATGCCCCCGTTGAACAGGTAGACCTTCACTTAATGTGATGCCCGGTATCCCCTCGGGTGGCCAGCTAAAAGAAGAAGCCACTCCCTACAAGATACCGCAACCGGCCCGAGCTCACTTGGCGGAAGATTCGTGGTTCGAACCCGACCCCTGCATCTCGACTGCTCCTGTCTAGACTTGAGCAACCTGACATTATCTTATCCCTTGTGCTTCCTTTGGATGAGATGGCACCTAGGCACTGGAAGGGTGTTACGCCAGAACGATTATCTTTGTTGTTCTGTAGAACCTTCTTCAGGTGTGCATCTGGAGAACTGTTCCCGCAGAGTACATGATTTTGTCTTCCGTAAAGTCATTGTTCTCACAATCAAAGTAAGCTAAAAGAGTCCGGCTTATGCAACCTGTATTTTCCCAGTTTGGGGGATAAACTTTAAATCTCTTGGCTTGCGTGAATACATCGATCAGTGCAATGAAATACGCTACGAGAGATTCTACTGCGACCCGAACATCACATTTTTTCAAGTATGGTCTAGTATCCTAGCTTAGTGGTGGCCATCCAAAGCACCATAGACCTGATCACGTGATTCCACCACACCTTATTCTTGTGTCCATCTCAACAAATCCGAGTTGACACATCACGTTCCCAAACTGAAGCTGAAACGGACTACATCAATTCGCAAATTAGATTGGTGATAACGAATAACAGGATGTTCTCTAACCGAACGCGTTACACACCGGCTCCTTGTTTCAGTTGGCATGATATTCTAGACATGGAAACATACTCTACTGACATAAGTAGTATGTCATGCCGCCTAAAGCAAGAAACGGTCTATGTGAAACGGTCCTAGATCAAGTTGAGTCTTCCGTCCAAGCCAACTTGATTTGTAAGTGTACATCTTCACTCGCGGACAACTTAACGTTAGAATAGGAAATAAGATTGATTAAAACTCGGGGATTAGGCGCACGTGATGAAACCCAAGTAGGGAAGGACCTTTTGTGGATTGCCAGGGGTGGATTTCAGCAACCTCATAACTGTGGTGCCACACCAAGCAGTTCATGGAAGTTTGCATTAATTACTGTTGTGGACCACAGTCTCCCTAATGCCTTCTTAATACCGTGAACCCCGGCCTGGATAGCCTGGTGCGCTTGGCCAAACCAAAAAAGTCAATGAATGTTCGAACCGGCTGATCAATTCATCGCTGTCGCTTACAGGCGGGTCAAAAGAAGTGGTACTAAGAATACAACTCATCTTTCAAGGACGAGTGAAGAACAACCAATGAAATCTGTTTCAACGAAAACGGTTATTCCATTGGCTGTTATATAGTTCGTTACGTCCGAAGCTGGTTCTCCTAATAATTACGAAGGTCAATAACTTATACCGTTGGCCGGAAAAGATAAATAAGGCGTTAGCATTTAGTTGGCACATAAGGGGAGATTGAACACACCTATTTAGATTTAAAGATATATCCCCATCAACCTGGTGCTCAGTGTAGCGCCATCCTCGCCTGCAGTTTCAGAAAATTTCCTCCACTGCAACCTATCCTCGTTGTCCGGGATCCAGTGCAAGAATTACCAGGTCCCACACACCGAAGGTTACATCGTAATTGGCACTAATTTGTATTGGCTGGTGCCCGCGAATCTGCAGCGAGATATTTAGAAAACGAGTGTTCGGTTGTGTAATGGGGACTTCAGTCGAAGTGTGTCCAGCACCTAAAACGACATGATCATGTATCGCACATGCCGAACCGTCGTTTGCCGAATAGTGCTGTTTTCCGTATCGAGTTCAGAGTGGCTTAAGCAGATATGGGGTCAACCCTTGACCTAGCAGAGCGGAATAAAAGTGAATATGAGAAGTCTGGCTACTGTCGGTGCGACTCGTCTTCCGCGATGGGGTTGGCGCCAACCGGATGTGAATGGTAGGGTACGCTGCAGGATATAACTGTTAATCGATGGCGTCCGTGCTGTCATTTTGCATCCAGAGTGTCTGGAAGTGTATGCACTCCGAAAAGATTGTGTTAAGTTAGCACTAAATCCCTTCAACATCCACATTGTCTGGAAGTGTTAGCACTAAATCCCGTCAACATCCACATTCATTGTTTTCCTAGCAATGAGCCTTTCAAACAAATTATCATTTTACGACAAGGAAGCATCAGTGGTTGAACACCGATGTTACGCTGTCGGTGATGAGCCACGGAAAAACGAATTTCAGCGCTCAAGTCCACAAACTGTTAGGTGGATAAGATCAGTGTATCTGAGTGCTCCAGCGAGCATTCATTGTAACCGTACAACACAGTAAGATCAACCGTACATCCCCACGGATCACTCCCTCGGATGAATCGTTAGCCATCGATTATTCTGCATTGCAGTTGACCGCTTGACTTCAACTAACACAACATAAGAGACTCCTTCAATTGCTAGTAAGAGGCGTTATTCTGGCCGAAGTCACTTGAGCTTACAGTGACCGGTCTGACTCTGTAAGATTGAGAGGGAACGTAAGCCCCATATGATGGGATGCTTTGAAAGGTACAGAAACATATCTAATGGGTGATGACGCGCTCCCTCACTGCTCAAGCAGCAGGCTCGGAAGCGGATGCAGAAGTCTTGGCTTACTGCCGCATAGGTACTCGTAGGTGTCCGTTGAAACAGAGAGACTGTCGAGGACCATTTCGTGCTGCTACCATTGTTGAATGCCGCGGTATTATATAGTATGCATCAGATAGAAACGCAGTGTATGGGGGACCAGTATGAACGCACAAATAATTCACGCTGTGTTTTGACACAAGGGCACCAGACGGACAGCCAACAATATTACCTGAAAAACATGCTACTTATGAGTAGTAGGATTGCGTCGCAAAAGAAAATATCCCGAACGCTGGCTTCCACTGAATCAGACAAGGAACGCAGTAGTGCAAAATTAGATTGAAAAGTTCCAGAAAAATCAACAAATTGTACAAGACAAAAGACACCGAAGGCAAACCGGCCAATGACTTGCGAATATGTACAAAAATAGAGCTGTGAGGAGTGGGAAAACAGTATCGATGCCTGGTGATGTAGAGTAAAAAAAGCTACTAGTCCATGTTCGTAAAAGTGGCGCCAAAATCTTAGTCTCAGATTGTCTCGAATACTGTCTTATCCAGAGTTGTGGAGGCCTCAGTGACTGATATAAGCGATGGCTCGTTTAAAGTTGACGAGGAAGATGTAATTAGTACCGCCTTATTCACATGATAGAAAACGACGTTGGTGTCGATTCGATTGCATCGGCTACCATGGTTGTGTCGTCGCAGTTGATGGTGAAGGGTGGTGTGTCCCAACCAGGGGGGATATCAGCTACCGCACTAATAACCGTATTCATGTCGTGACACACTGTGTCAGGATCGGACGGAGCTGTAATGTTTGTGTGGTGTGTCCAGGGGGGATATCAGCTACCGCACTAATAACCGTATTCATGTCGTGACACACTGTGTCAGGATCGGACGGAGCTGTAATGTTTGTGTGAGGAGATTGCTGTTTCTGGATGGAGACAGAAGAGCCATCTGGCATCTCAACAAGGGAGTGAGTGAGCGGAGAAGAAGCCTGTGGGCTACTGGCAACTGGACTTTCAGCTGACGGAGCAACTGAGCAACTGGTTAGACCCGACTCGTTCAAGGAGGCATCCGCCTGGACTACAAGCGGTGATTCGAAATCCTTGACGTTACCCAACGAAACATCTGTCAGGTCATGTCTGTTTGAGAGTGTGGGTGTGTGACCAATGTCTACGTTGTGTAAAGACATTCTCATATTCGGTGCTGTACAAATCGATTCCCTATTAATATGAGATGTATCAAAGACGTGTGGAGAACCGTCTGGTTCAGTAGCTCGACTGGGTGGTGGAGAAGAGTCATTCTGGGGACTTGCGACATCACGAAGAGAGTGACCAATTTGATCGGAATTGATGGGAATTGGGGATAAGGTGAGTGACCCCTGCATATGCCCGTCAGTTACTGTGGGAGATTCACCTCTGACTAAAGCTGTGCTCTCACCGTTGCATTTGACAACATCAAGAGGAATGTCCTCGTTATTGTTTTCCTTCATCGATGTCTGTCTGATGTTCTGTTTCACCGGGGATGAATGGATTTCTGATACTGTACAGGGGGTGGGGTCAGTGCTGCAAGATGCATTAGAGATGTGTGGTTGGGCGTGGATATCACCAGCCTCTCTTGATACCCTAGGGGATGAAAGTTCTGGTGCATGTGAAGGAATGGAGATTGAACAAGATTTAACTGCACCAGTTGCTGGATCTTCAGACAGACTGCCTACGAAACCGGAGGGGTGCGACTGCGAAGGTGAGTTGTTGGGAGATGTTTGAGCCGCAACTGTAGTCGGCCTATCAGGTTCAGAAAAAGAGGGAGGTGCAATGTTCTGAACAAAAAAGAAGAGGGCTGGAAGTGTCTTGACATCCTTTGGCTCGGGTTCGTTTTCAGCTAATGTCGGCTTTTCTTCGTTTTCAACTGAATTCGTTAAGTTCTCAGCACCGTTAGTATTATGGTCTTCTGTGGCTTTACCTGATTCTACCTGTGACGCTTCCGTCACGTCCTCACCTTGTTTTCCTCTGGCTTTGGAATTCGGTTCGTCAGAAGAAACCGATTCCTTACTTTCGGATACATACTCAGAGTCTCCGCTACGTTGCTCATCCGATTGACTATCACCATCTTCTTCCTCCTCAGAGCTCGTGTCGGATTCCACTTTGTCCGGCCGAAAACGCTTCCACTTTGGTATCTGAACAGAATCATCCGTAAAAGCGACCCGCTTGGTTGTACTTCGTAACTGCCTGGTAGCAACCTCCACGACTCGATAGGTTGAAGGTTGAGGTGAGGGTGGCTTCTCCACCGGGTCCGGTTCGAGTCTCTCTTCGTCGGGATGACAGTCTCGTATGTGCGCTTCCAACACACCAGGCCTCCGATGTGACATGGCCATCGAACAAAACGGACATATCTATGGGGGGGAATAGATGGATTGGAATTCAATTTATGGTGGTGAATTCACACTATCAACAGGCCGTAAGCTGAATCTGTTATTCTGTGAACTCAGTATATCACTGGTATATTGTTTACAATACATAACATGTTGTACATAACACAATACATTATCACTACAGTTGCTACGATATTATCGGTTTATTAGACGCTCTGTATCCTAGAACCAGTTTAGACATTACCCGTTCTACTCAGATGACAGGTTTCGACGGCAGTCGCGCAGGCATACCTTGCGCATGCACCAGTAGGCGCCAGTTTCATACGTTCAAAACCGTTGGAATTTTCAGCAAACGAGGTTGTTTAAGTGACTCATTTTCTCACACCCTGTCCCATTTGCGGAAGAGGCAGTTTAGTGTTTCATTATGAAGAAAATAGGGTCTCGTCTAATAAAAAGGGAGTTCGTCGAGCTAAGATGAAACATGCCGTTCAAAGTATTTTACAGTTTCGTAATAAAACATACTTCTACTGAAAAAAGAATGCTTCCGTTGGCAGCTGGTTCCACATTAGCCCCAGTTTCGGACGTTCTAGAGAGTGAAAACGTTTGAGGAATTTGATTTTACGCAAAACAGAGTCAAAGAAGTAGCGCGTTTGCAATTAAAGATGGAAACTAACATCCCGAGGAACAAAACGTGCTCCTCATGGGCAGCAATACACTAGTGGTAATTACTGGTCCTTTTCGGCCTCGATAAAACATTTTCTTGAATGGTTGATCAACTTCCAGAAGGACCATCTCACGTGACTGGCCCATATTTACTGATTGACTGCTACGTTGGACAGCTGATCTTCCGAACACTTCTAATACCTTACACCGCTACATCAGTTCGAAACTACTCGCCGGATATGACTTGGTTTGATGGAAACGTTATACTGGCACACGTGTACACCACATTCCGTCAGAACACGTTACGGTTGAGAGTAGGCATCCTAGGTAATGAGATCGAAATACATAATAGATAAGAATAATAGTCGTTCAGCTGTAACATTCTTTCGGTGCAGAGCTGCCATACCATCCTAAAGAAACACGACGAACCACTGCGAACTGTTTCGGTAACCTCTCTCGTGCCATCCTTGTTCCCCATCGACAGTCGCGAATTTAGGTCGGGTGTTGTGAGCTACGGGCATTAATGAACTACTAAGACTTTGAGAGTAGTGTAAAGTAAATGCAAGGAATACCACAGCAGCCCTAACCACAAACTGGAATGCACGGCGTCGACTAAGGGATTTCACATCAAATTGGGAAAGACATAACCCTCCAATCTCCACAGCTACAAAGACAGCTAGTGTCCTAGGATAGCCGAACCGCTTTCCACCGTATCAGTTCACAAACTCTAGTCGTACAATGAACAGTCCCTGTTAGAATGCGATGGTGAAAAGAATTCTAAGGGTCGCATCTCCACCCTCACTGTCATCGTCACGAACAGCAATACACGAAAGTTAATTCAAGTGCCTTATAGCTATAAAACTATGGAAGCGGAAAGCCAGATGGGAATTAATGAAAACAAGACGAGAAGTGGGGGCTTAGTGTAGAAAGCCGCATGCCCTGGTGAGAACGGTCAACTGAGTTGAAAATGTCTACATGCTTGAACAACGCGGGAACAAGAAACACGTGAGTCGAATAAGATTATTCAAAACAAGCACTTTTTGAAAGCCACACCCATCCAACAGTATTGAAGCCCAGACTGGCGGGACATACTGCAGCACACAGGCAACGCCCAAAATCAGTCGAAAAAGTTTCCCATCAGGACAGAACTTACACACCTTTCTCTCTACACTTTGTGGGTAACCGATAAACCGCACTGTGTTTAATAAATACAAGTTGAACGGAAGATGCATTCCAGAACATGAGAAAGCTGAAAAGTCCCTAATTTGATGTCCAAATGCTTCCAGGTAGAGAAAACCCGTACGGAAATTATCTATCTTCTCAAACTGTTGAAGTGACCATCCAAAAGACCATGGATGAAGTGCGCTATATTTAGTCACACAACTCAGTCAAGGAAGGCAATACAGTTTTGTCGTTGTCTTATCCCGAAACGACAAGTCTGGGAAGCTCCGAAACAAACGAAACTCAAAAACTCCGCCGGTTGCGGGAAAGGTTACTTCATTAAAAAAAGACTTTCCATGAACCATGTGATGATGAAGGATTCTGCAAACACCAACCGTTACCGCCGGCGTCGATCTTTGGATAGAACTATTTCAAAGACTTTGCATCCATCCGCTTGAAGTTTCACCACGTTTTATCTGTTGGTTACTAAAAGCATCACGTGTATTCACTACACAGTATGACAACGTTATGCGAAAAAATATATCGGATAACGACCAGATTCAACCTATCAGACAGTAATTTTCCGCGGTTGGTACTATGCAGAAATATGTAACGAGCACAAAACTCTTGAATACGACTTAGCCATGTCATCATTATCATCATCATCATCACCACCACAGACGGCAACATCAGCGGAGTTGCTTCACTACCATGCAACCATGTTGATCTACGTGGATGAAACCTCATAACAGAAGGAAGCAAAATGGGACATTAGACATCCGAGGTGCCTGCACACCCACCACTCAGTCAGAAAATCTAGGTAAAAACTGACTGAAAATATTCAATGGCAAGCACACAGCTAATCCGTTGGACCGTATTTCGGAAACCGAACAGCACCAACAACATTCAAACTTTTCGTAGCACTCTTTATGCCCTTCCTATCCGTTTGTGTCCACCTCAAAGTTTGCGCCACCCCGAATAGCGCATGGAAAACAAAACCCGTCTCGGGAGGCGAAAACTTGGCAAGCTTTACACATGGCTCAGCTAAATTAGTTTGCAGTGGTCAGTAAATTCTTTGAGAGAGGTACCGTCTGCTTCACCGAGATCCCGTTGCCTGACCATATCATCCAGAATCATTTGGTTCCAGTCGAGTCCAGCTACAATTATGAGGTATCGGTCGTCGCACAACTGGGGGAGCCTCAGATCCTCCGCCCGAAGTGGTCAAGTCTCCCAAAAGTACAACAATACAGCCCGCAGTGTAGTCTGATGCACACATCCTTTGAGACCTAATGCAATGCTTCTTTGACGCCACAGTTGGCATCAGTTGGCAAATGCAATTAGCACCTTCGAGATTCGTGCGTTCAGTTTGTCTGTCACACTACCGTCAGAGGTGATGCAACTTCCGAGATATGTATAGCGTTCCACAACATCTTAGAGGTATCCTCAAAGACGGTAAGTCCCGGAGCGAAGTTCGGCGCAAAGTACTGGTCAAAGGTCATTTTTCCTAGCAATGCTTACTCCCTCTGCTCTTTTCCGAAAATGTCACCTGTATATTCCAGGTCGGAAATGTTCCCGCTCAGAGAGTTCTGAACACTGGGGTTTTGCAGACCTTCCAGATCTCTCTCCAAAACTCAGTTAATGAGAAAACTAAACAAAAACTGAGAAGGTGGACATCCGCGTCGTACACAACTGCTTGTAGAAAAGCCTTTGAAGTACTCCCCCAGACACTCCCCCTAGGCCATACGTTTGCGCATACAAGTGATGCATGATATTCACAAACTTTTGAGGTATATCCTGTTGCGCAAGGGTGCTGGAAAGAACCAATCGGTGGGTGAAATCGACCGCACTCTTGAAGTCAAGGTATACCTACATTTTAAGACATCCAAAGTCACGATGTTGTTCTAAAATCTGACGGGAAATGAAGACGTAGCCCACACAGCCGGTTATTCCACCGATGTGGGTTAAGTTGATAGTAACAGGACAGTCCTTCAACATCCCTGAGCTAAGAGACCAAACAACACTGCCCTAACTAGGCAGTCGAACTAGTCGTCGAACTACACTGTCGCGTACCGGTTGCTTTTCAGAATTAAGGCGTGCTCAGGTGCCTCCTAAAAGTGCCAGAGTCACATAAATTACAGTGAAATTTAACCTGCGTTTGAATTCGCCTACTTAGGCAAGCCAAGTAGCTACAGACCGATCTTCACAAGGCAGTTGTTTGGACTGTTAATCAATACGGTCGTTTGGTCACATGACCAAGGTGAGAAAGTTCGTTCTAGCGTGATTGGTCCGAACTAGCTTCCGTGTTTCGCTTCCATAGCAAGCAACAACTCTGAAATATACCAGGGAGGATGCCCTCTTGATGTTTAGTAATTTGAGTTTATATAAGTAATGAACAAATGAAATCAAATTATTCTTTTAAAATAACAGACTCATTAGTCCAGCTGAACAACCGTCAGCATGTAATCCCTATAGTTGGTTCCCCTGAGACCATGAGGCGAATCCTCTCCTAAGCGAAACTCAGTCATACTGAACACGAGTAGTCCTTAAAACCACGCTGAATGGGTTGTCTTCAGCTCTATACGAGTTTACACTAGCTGGACCTATTTGTAAAGTTTCTGAACAAATCTGAACGAGACAATCCGCAAATGAATGGTTCTGTAACGGTATCCTTCTTCACTAACAGTCGAACATCGCCCTGCAGGCTGCGGAAGAATATCCTACTGGCAAGCTGACCAAGACGGCGCTACTGAGGCGTCAGTTTCAGGTGCAAAAGACAAGTTGGAGAAAGAGTTATTCAGAAATTCAGAACTATCGCTGCAAGGGTGTGAATAGAACTCCCACTCGCTCAAGTTCTCTCCCACTCAAGGTCGTCAACTCAGGAATCTCAAATGCGAAACTCCTCCCTCTAAAAAGTGTTCGTGAAGCATGATTTCTATTATGTGGGAAGACGAATGACATCTTCATTCGGGTTGAAGAAAGCTCGCATAATTTCGGTGAAATGATAACGCGATCAGGTGACATTCGTCATCATCTCGAGTGTCCGGTAACGTGTGAGTGTATCGATCAAAATATGGACTAGTAGTTGCCGATGGATAAATTTTTAAAGCCATCGCTCGATTCATCCCCAGTTTCTCGTCTCTTGAAAAGTGTTATTTTGCTGGAATCGATCGATCGATCGTTCAGCTGTAACGTCCTTTCGGTGCCTAGCTGCCACACCACCCGAAGGAAGCACGAGGGCTGGGATACTGCCAGGTTGGTTGAAGCTAGACAGAAGAAGTCGAGATGCAGAGATCGAGTTCGAACCACTGACCCTTCCGGTCACAAATTCGCGTTCTAACCACTGAGCCACCTCGCCCCACCTTGCTGTTTAGCTTGCTACCAAGTAACCAGATGACAATGCTTGGTCCAGTCGCCAGTCATTGGGCGGTAAGAGGGTGCTCAACTTGAGGTCCCTAGCTTGAGAATTCCTTCAAGGCGGTTAACCATAAAGACACGTGTTTTCATGTACTCTATAGAAATGTGACCTCCCAAGTGTCCAGAGGGCTGAATTCATCAATCAGCTCATCTACATAGACTCGACCTTATCTAGTCCTTCACCAACATCTGACAAAATTAGTTGGGTTACTGAAAACGGTTTGTATTTCTACGGGATCCGGTCCAACGCCGACAACATCAGCAGTCTACTCAATGATTGTGAGCCCCGGAAGCAACTATGAACTCGAGAGGCGAATAACGAAGATTCTAGTAGGTTCACGATCACAGAGTTGAAAAGGAAGGGTGATGAGCTTGATACCAGTGAATGTCAGTGAACCTAAGCAGATACTTTCCACAGAAACAGGCCTCCAGGAGAGTTGACATGCAGAGCCAAAATGTGTGGAGGACAATGGCCAGTGTTTGAAAGCATGCAGAAAGGGGAAAACATAGTCGGTACGTCCTCGTCCAGGTTGGCCTCGGCGCGATACCTCGAATATCGTAGCAACTGAAACATGAGGCGACCTGGTGCAGCACTATCAGTTGCCTGGACACATCACAAACGAGAGATTCAGCCGGGTTCCAGGTGAGTTTCTCGCAAAACCAAATTTGTTTCCAAATGAGTGTATTTCGCTGACCTCGCTGGTTCTTTCAAAATTATCAGGCTAAAGTGATAAAAAGCCCGGCAGACCGGTCTCGGTAAGAATCGCGGCTGCGTGATCTGAATCTTCCCTGTTTTCCAAAAGCAATCGAACTGAGTCGTGTACCTGTGGTGCTCTTGGGTGAATAGCTGTTGTGCAACTTTGAAGAAGCGCAAAGGTTAGCATACCTTGAAGCTGCTTAAACCCACAAAGAAGCCAAAGAAAAACTGGTGGGCAGAATCGAACCCTTCCACCTAATCGTACCAAAACTACAGAGAGATTTAGCGAATACACACTCATTTGCAAACTAATTTGGTTTTTCGAGAGACTCACCTGAAACCGAGCTGAATCTCTCGGTTGTGATGTTTCCACGCAACTGAATGTGCTGCACCAGGCTGCCTCATGTTTCAGTCGCTACGATGTTCGAGATATCGCGATACATGTATATCTTTGTAATGTACT